TGTTACAAACTCGCCTGTTCACCTTTGAAGCTGCCTTCTACACGTTGAACAGTGTTTGATGCCACCCTGTGCTCCTGTTTCTGACCTATGGCCTCCAGGGTTTACTCTCCAAAGCACTTTTTCTTTCTCTCCTTCTGTCCGTCCCTTTGTTCCTCCTTCTTCCCCCCTTTTCTCCCTCCCACTCTTTTTTCATTTTCTTTATGATAAATTAACTTTACTGAAGTGTAACTTACACAAAATAAAATTCACATATTTTAAGCGTGCAGGTTGATGCTTTTTTTTTTTTTTTTTTTTTAAATGTATCCCATCTAAACACCACTCCAATCAAGAAACTGAACATTCTCATCTCCTTAGAAAATTTCATCATGCCCCTTTGCATTCATTCTGTCCCTCAGGCTCCACCCCAGGCAATCACTGTTGGGGACCCCCATCATAGAGTGTACTTACACAAGATGGTATAGCCAACTACACATCTAGGCTATATAGTATAGCCTATTGCTTCTAGGCTACAAACCTACACCTCATGTTACTGTACTGAATACTGCAGGAAACTGTAACATAATTATAAGTATGTGTGTATCCAAACATATCTAAACCTAGAAAAGGTAAGTAAAAATATGATATAAAAGATTTTAAATGACTGGGTACAGTGGCTCACAACTGTAATCCTAGCACTTTGGGACACTGAGGAAGGAGGATTGCTTGAGCCCAGGAGTTCAAGACAAACCTGGGCAACACAGGGAGATCCCGTCTCCACAAAAAATTTAAACATTATCTGGACATGATGGTGCATGTCACCGGGGCTGGAATGCAGTGGAGTAGTCTCAGCTCACTGCAACCTTCGCCTCCCAGGCTCAAGCCATTCACCCACCTCAGCCTACTGAGTAGCTGGGACCACAGAGTAACTGGGACCACAGAGTAGCTGGGACCACAGGCACTTGCCACCACGCCAGGATAATTTTTTATATTTTTGATAGAGACAGGGTTTCACCATGATTCCCAGGCCAGTCTCGAACTCCTGAGCTCAAGTGATCTGCCTGCCTCGGCCTCCCCAAAGTACAATCTTTTTACTTATTTTTAACTTTTTGACTCTTTTGTAATAACACGTAGCTTAAAACACAAATATTATACAGCTGTACAAAAATATTTTCTTTCTTTATATCCTTATTCTATAAGCTTTTTTTCTAACATTATTAATTTTATTTTTTAAACATTTTGTTAAAAACTAAGACACAAACACACACATTATTAGCCTAGGCTTACACAGCCTCAGGATCATCACTATTACTGTCTTCCACCTCCATATCTTGTCCCACTGGAAGTTCTTCAGGGGTAATAACATGCATGGTCCTGTCATCTCCTATGATAACAATACCTTCTGGAATACCTCCTGAAGGACCTGCCTGAGGCCATTTTACTGTTAACTTTATTTTTTATAAATAGAAGGAGTACACTCTAAGATTATGATAAAAAAAATAGTATAAGATAGCATAGTATAGCATAGTGAATACATAAACCAGTAGCATAGTCATTTATTATCACTATCAAGTATTATGTACTATACATAAATGTACATGCTATAGCTTTAAACAACTGGCAGCACAATCAATTTATTTACACAAGCATCACCACAAGCACATGAGTACTGCGTTGCTCTACAACTTTATGGCAGCTCTGACATCACTAGGTGATAGGAACTTTTCAGCTCCATTAAAGACTTCTGGGACCACCATTATATATGCTGTCCTTTGTTGACTGAAATGTCATTATGCAGCACATGACTGTATTTTATGCTGATTATATCAAACATAGAGAATTGTGTTCTATTCTGGGTACCACACTTTAAGAAATAATGTGAAAAGAATAGAGCATGTTTAAAGGACAGCACAAAAAATGATAAGCAGACTAGAAACCAGGTAATATAAGGAATGTTTCAACAAACTGAGAATGCTCAATCTGAAGACACTTTCCAGGGTATATGATAAGTTAACTTCAAATAGTTGAAGATGACATGCATAAAAGGAGTTTATTTAGCCCCAGTGGGTGTAATAATCTAGAAAATTTCTATTCCTTCTTGGTCTTGAATATTTTTTTAAGACAGGATCTCACTCTGTCACCCAGGCTAGAGTATAGTGGAGCAATCAAGGCTCACTGCAGCCTCGACCTCCTAGGCTCAAGTGATCCTCCCACCTCTGGCTCCTGAGACTACTACAGGCATGCAACACCACATCCAGCTTTTTTT